ATACATATAAGTATCACAACCACCTCTTTCCTCCTGTCTGTTTTACACTCGTAACATCTGCACTTTCAAATAAATTGAGAGGAACTGAAAGGCAGCAGAAAGCATATGAAAACTCTGTATAATGGCCACTGATTTTTGTTGGCTGAAAGATCCCCATGCACAGTTAAACAAATGTGCACAATTCACTCTTCTCTTGCAATTCTGTAGTCACCTGAGAGTATGTCTCATAAAGATCAACATGGGTTACTTCTGATAGGCATAGGCTCGCACTGTTAATGCATATTGAACTTATATATACAAAAACTGGATGAAGGATGGAAATCTTTGAGAATACTCTGAATAAATCCCAAGAGAACTGCACCTGATATCATTACAAAATTATTTTTGTCTGCTTCAGCCAAAGAGATGAAAATATTACCATGGGTAGGATAATCAACAAAGGCATATTTAAAATTACTGGAGCGTACTGTTCAAAGGAATTTTCTTCAGTTCTCTCACCCATGATGTTAGCCTTTGCTTGTATTATGAATCAGGATGGCATTAATGCTTGGAACATCTCCTTGACTATTCAGATCTATGAAACTATACATATGGATGAGATGAGCACATTTGGAATACTGGGTAAAATTCTGGCCTCTATACCTGAAGAAGGCTTTTGTAGAGTTGGAGAAGGGGTAGAAAGTGGTGGAGCAACTCTACTAGCAGTACAGTTTACAACCTTTTTAGCTTAGAAAGAAGGTAAGGGAGACATGATAGAGGTGTGTTGAATTGTCCATGTTGTGGAGAAAAAAAGTAAGATGTTTTGTGCAATGAAGTGAAAAACCGGGGTCTCAGGACAGAGAAAAGGAAGTGCTTCTTCATGCAGTGCAGTTAGACTGTGTAATTTGCCACCACAAAATGTCAAGGTCTTTACCAGCTTGTACAGGATTTTAGATGAATTCATGGTGGATTAGGTTATCCATGATGCCTGGTTATGGTGACTGACTACTGGAAGTAGCATGTTTCTCCTCACCTGGTATTGGGGTACACATACAGAAGGGTGCTATTGCACCCATTATTTAGCTGTTTACTTATTGTATTTATATCCCACCTTTCTCCCATTGAGGAACTCAAGCTAGCTACAAGCTGTTCCCAGGTGGTCTCCCCTCCAAGCTCAGGCCAGCCTCAGACCTGCTTAGCTTCAACATGGTAGATGCCTTCTGTTCCTTCAGTGAGAGCAGAAGACTAAAGTGCCCATGACTTTGTCAGTGGAGGCTCCTCCATAAGCCCAACTGGGACTTGGCCTTCCCCATCAAGGAAGAAAAAAAAATGCATGTGAAGATCTCATTGCATGACATGAACCTTAAATATTTCTATGTGCCCTGGGCTGCATCACTAATTAATCCCCATTTTATTTTGGCAGCCCACGACTTAACTCCCATGTCTGAGTTTCAAGCTAAGTTTTCATTCAGGCGTCTCTGATCCTTGTGGGACAACAGGGAGGGACCAGCATATTCAAGACACACAGGACAAGACAAAATTGTTCCAGTCTTCTCCATATGGAGGACTAATAACCTGCTTCACTACTGGGTCCCTTTCCTCAAGGAATTGCCAAAGCTTTTCTGGGAAGGTCCCTGTAGCTATAAGGCATTTTCCGGCTAATTGCCTCAATCAAGTTAATCTTGTGCAAAGCTGGCTCTCAAATACCACTTTGCAAACCACTTTCTTTCCATGTGCTGATTTTTTCTGATCAGGGCAGGACCAAAAAGGAACCAGTGACCCTATGAGGAGAAAAGGCACAATTCTAAAGAGCATATTTCCACCATCTCCTTGCAAGAGGCCTGTTACCTTAAACAAGCCCAGGTAGTATAAAGACTGGCCTGACCTAGTTGGGTTTTATGTTCAAATTTGTGTCCTAATGTACCTCCTTCTGAGGAATTATTTTTAAATGTGTGTCTCTTCCCTTCAAGGAGACCCAGATATCTCATTCCCTCAACCCCGCTTTTTCCCTCACAAAGATACTGTGATTCAGCTATGAGGTAGTGCTTGGCCTAAGGTCACCCAGTGACAGATACGCAGCCGTGAAGGGATCTGAAGTGTTTAAAACTAATTCCTTCTTGATAGCTGTATAATGAATGTTCCTAAAGTATAAACTCTCCCAGTTCTGCACTAGGACTGCCATTGAAAGCAATCCTAGACATTTGAATAGTTTGGTATTGTGGAAAAAAATGTGTGGGGAGGGGAGATAGCAAATATCCAGAAATAATTTCAGTTAAAAATGGCTGCTGGATGATCTGCACTGGGGCTCTGAGAGGGTTGTATGCTGTATTCTTTGAATTTTTGCCTCACACAGCCTCAAAATGATGGGTGTTTATCAAACTGCTCATACTGAAAGCTTTTCAGCCTGAGCAAAAGGTAGAGTGGAAACATTTCTGTCTGTTACCTTTGTTTTGTAAGTGAAGGTTTGGGAAATATGGGTATTGATAACCTTAGAGAATAACGCTAGAATTTATACAATGTTTTCAAAGCATTTCCAGGGTATAATTTAATTCACCATGATCAAAGTAGTTTAATGGTGTTCGCTTGGAGAAATGATGTAAAGCAATATAAGGCTGGCTACATATTAAAAGCATGTGGAAACTTTTATCTTTGAATATTTTATGTAAAAGGACATTCCTTCTTTACTCATGGCTATATTACTCATGGCTATATTATTGCAATTTCATTTGCAAAACTGTAAATAAACGAGGGATTATCACATCGAGTCTGATATTAAGGCAAGATGTGACTGAATCAGGTGTCATTTGCTACAGGAGAGGCAGATTAATGCTTTTGATAAATGCATTACTGGGGAAGTGACACTTAATGGCTTTTGTTTAGCATACAATGTTTATTTAAACTTGTGTGCTATTATGGAAGATTAATAACTTTTGTAATGGGGATAAAAAAGCAAGAATAAATTTAAAAAGATGGTATTGGTCACAAAATATAGGGGGATTGGGTATTTCTAATGTAAAATTATATTATATGCTAATCAACTGAGGCATACACCAGATATTATAAAAGGTTAATATAGTTAAAATTAGATTCTTCCAAATTAGAAGGAACTTTGGTAGATCTTATTTTAAAATATGAAAATAAACATATTAATAAAAAAGGTAGAAAATCCTCTCCTTAAAAATATATTACAAATCTGGAAGAAGTATAAGGAAAAAAATTACATCATCAATTTCACCATTACACCCAATTACTGAATTAGAAGCATTTCCATTAAATTTAAGAGTGATTTTAGGGAAAATGCTAAGGAATAAACAAATAGATTAAAAGCTTGGCTAGAGAAAATGAATAAAGATGGGGAGATAAAAGCAATATTAGGTAAGGAAAAATAGCTTGGCATAATGTGTTTCAATTAGAATCATGGACTAGAGAATGGATAAGGAAAAGAAGTAGATGCAGGGAGTATATAAAATATATAGATATGATTATAGAAAAGGAAAAACAAGAGAATATGTTGATGAAAGGGATAGTAAATAAAATTTATACGATATTATTAGAAGAACAGAATCAATATGATTAACTTAAAGTAATATAGGAAACAGATTTGGGAAAGAACATTAGCAATGAAAATATATTGGGAAATATATGAATGAAGAGGATATTAAAATGCATGTCGGTAAGAAAAAAGGAAAAATTCTGCAAAATTGTATGGAAATGGTACCTAACTCTGGTTAAGTTGAATTGTATAGATAACAAATACTCCAATATAAGTTGGAGATGTGATTGTGAAGAGGGTACATATTTGCATATGTGGTGGGAATGTGAATATAGCATGAAATTTTGGAAAGTGGATTTTAAAGAGTGATGTAAAATACTAAATATAGATATATGCCCTGGAATTGCAGTATTTTCAGTATTTGATTTAAAAAACAATGGATCTGGAATAATAAAGAATTAATAACAAATTTAATAACTACAGCAATATTAATTATATGTTAGAACTGTAAAGTAACATATGATTACCAGTTGGCTGACTGATACAGAGAAATTTGGAATATAGCTATTAACAACAAATTAACATGTGAGATTAAAGTGAGAAAAGGGCATATAAAGAAAATTAAGTTTAATGATATTTGAGGTATATTTATTGAGTATGTTTTTTAAAAGGGGAAAGGATTTGACCCATCAAAAGAATCATTACTATTTTGGAAGGGAGGAATGTTCTGAAATGTTTGAATAACGTTTTTTTTGTTTGTTTTTGTTTTAATTTGTAACATGTATCCTTGGTCCTGGTGATGGCTAGGGGAGGGGAATCATATTGTAAGAATTATTTTAATTATATGTTTAATTTTATATGTTTTTGTTTTTAAATGTAGCTTCGAGTTTTTGTGGTTGAACTTTAGACTGAAAATCAATTTTAAAAAGAGAGGAACTTGTGTGCTGTAACGGTGTATGTTAAGCAAAAGAAAGGACTTGGTCCCAGCAATTGTACAACTTGCCAGCCTCAGTAGCCTTTGGGCCTTTCTTTGTAGATGTTCTTAATGTAGACTGGAGCATAACCAGTTACTAAAATACCATGTGTATTAACCATGTTCTATTGATCCTCTTTGTTATAATCATTAAGAGTATTTCCGAAGTAGTTCCACATAAAATGAAGAAAAATAATCTCAGAAGCCTTTTCATCCTATTAACATTTTTGAAATTTTTCTTTTCAAAGAAAGCCACCTTGTGGAACTTTCCCCAAATATTGTCCCCTTTTTTCTTTTTCTGCAACTGTCAACTTTTCTGCCCCACCCCCCGGCCATCAGGGCTCAGAACTGCACCAAATCCAGGGCATTACTGAGAGTGCAAAATGGTGGCCAGGCTACTCACATGGTTGCCACAGTGGCATCTTGAGCCAAAATGATCCCCTTCCCATTTCTCTGCCCACAAATAAGATGGAGACTTTTAAGAAGCCACTTGTCCACAGCTCAGGTTCCATCATGGATATGTCCCAGATGGACTGTCCCAATTCTCTTACTTACCTTGTCCCGAATCCCTTGCCTCACAGTTTCCCTTTCAGCTTCCATCTTGGCATATTTGGCTTTCCTTTCTTCTTCCTGCTGCCGAAGGGCCTCCTGTCGTTCTTCTTCCTTCTTGGCAGCATCTGGATCCTTCTCTTCTTCTCCTCCCAGCATCTTCCCCATGTCTTTGGTGGCCCCTAAGGAAAAAGTGCAGCACAACAATAATATATACAGTCCCAAAAGACAGTAAAAAGACCTTTCTGGAGTGGAGTCTGGTGACAGATACTCCAAAAAAACTGTGTTGGAGCTGAGATAGAAGTTTGTTATATTTTGTTTCGTTGACTGATAGTCCAGGAGCAAAATATTTGTATTTTACTCACGGTCTTGAGCCAGAGGAAAGAGATATTGTCAATGTACTGTGGTGGTGGAGTTACCATTGAGAGGTGACTACAGAGCCTGGTTTCTGTATTATATATGGAAGGTAGGACTGAAATTCATGCCATGTGACTGGAGATTAGCTGAACATTCTGAAGATGCTCATTGGGCCTGAATTTGAATTGGTACAGTGAAATGTTGGCCATGCTAAAGTTGATTGACTGAGAGGTACTAACTGGAGTAAATATAAGGAGATATGGGGAGGTATCTGAGGTGAGCTTTCATCTGAGTCTGTCGGCGAGAGCTTGGCCAAGAAGAGGAACAGTTGCAAGGCTGAGAAGACAAGTTTGAAAGCACAAGAGGCAGAAGTTAAGTGAGGTCTGCAAGGGACCCCTGGGTCAGCCTTTTGATGAAAGAGCTGGGGGCTGTGATATGAAGAAAAACCAGTTGGTGGACCGAACTGAAGAGTTCAAAGGAGACTTGGTGAAAAGCTGTAAAAGTTCTAGTCCATTGCCATGCTTAACAGAGAGGACTGCTTATCAAGCACTCATTGCTAGGCCTGTGAGTTAACTGGGATGGAGCACGGTAGGGGAATTGGTTTGAGTTTGGTTAAGAATTGGGGTGTTTAACACTTGATTGGTGGTAATAGTAACAATATAGTCCTGCTTTCAAAGCAACCACATATAAACCTCATTCATAAAGTAACTGCAATCTTAAATAATAAGCTTTCTTTTATTATTTCTTCTTCATATGATACCATATATCTTTGCTTATTTTCCTGTACTCTGATCTGATTGTCTCACACCTAATATCCTTTGGAAAAAAGGATATATTAAAAAAATGCAAATGTATGGTGGCAGTGTAACTGGATGGTGGGTTTACCCTATTTCCCCTATTCAGTACCTGAAGATTCAGCCAGAGTTCTCATTTCAAACTAGCACAATTTATCTTACCAGAACTGAGATGTCATTATGGATTCAATCGATATGCTTCCATGCTTGAACTCTCTTCAGCCTCTCATGATAACTTGGTGCATATTTGTACATGCATATATCACTAGATCTCTAAATTTTAATAAAAATGCATTTGATGATTGGCAGCTAGAGATAAGACTTTGGCTCCATAATTGAGAAGCTTTGCATTGAAGGGCATGTGAAAAGATAGTAGTTTTATCTGTGATGTTAGATAAGTGATAGCTCATTCATATGTGCAATACATCCCTTGATGTTGTTATTGCAGGCCTAGTATGAATATGCATATGTGAACCAGGCCAGGCTTGCCTGGATTTTCTGTCTCTTCATCTTTGCTTAGACATGAATGTGCTATACCTAATACCAGCTTGATTTGTTCACAGTAGGAGAGAGACAGACTAATGAACTGATTACTGCACTCTGTAGAACATCAGAGTAAGAAAGAACAGGGAAAAATGCAAAGTTGAAAATAATTTTTAATTAATTTTCTAATCAAAGGCTTCATTCATACAATTAGCATGGGTTACTAAGCTAAAAATGAGCAAGCATTTTGTCTCCTCTTTATTCCTCCCTTCAGGGTGTGAACAGTCAAACCAGGCACCTTATTAACCATAATTTCCCATTTCATCCATACTGAGAAGTTATGGTTCCAGTTTTGGTAGAAGCCAGGATCTTAAATCATGGTTTGAATATTTTGACTTGTTACAAGACTGGTAATCATAGATTCCCACAGGATGTCCATTTAGGCATCAACAAAAAATAAGTAATGAATCTCCAAAAGCAGAAAAAAGAAGACATGCATAGATTTTTAAATGATAATGTACATGTAACATTGCACATGTAGAAATAATTGCTGTAACTCAAATAGAAATACATTTCATCATAATGGGAAGATGCATAGTTTTGTGAACTGACTGTTGGTCCAATAAAAGATAGGACACTGACATGGATTTTGGAGTTTTCCTTATGCTCTAAGTGGCTACTTTTGGATGGCGTTAGGCAGAGGAATTATATTTTAGCCTGTGGCAAAATGCATAGAAACAATACTGAGGCAAACTGATATTCAGAAAACAGCCATCTGCCCCCAGAGGCAATATTTGTTTGTTTGTTTGTTTGTTTAAAGCTTTTACAGACCATCCCATTACTAGTTTCTCAGGATGGTTTACAACAATATGTCAAGAACTCTGGTTCTTGCTGTTGTTGCTACCGTTTAGATGGCTGATTGTAGCTAAAAGTTATGGACATAAATGTAAAATAGTTAGAGCTTCCTCCCCCAAACTTATGCCCTCTGCATATCTTGGATTAACTCCCATCAGCCCAAGCCATAAATGGCAATAGTCAGGAATACTGGAAGTTGTAGCTCAAAACTTCTGAAAGGCACCAGGCTGGAGAAGGCTGAGTTAAAATCATAGAATCACAGAGCTGGAAATGACCTTGGGAATCACCTAGTCCTACATTACAATACCAGTGCTATGTTTCCTCCCTAAGGAGCTGTCTGCTGAAAGCTGGATGAAAACATCTCTGTTTCTGAATCAGAACATCTCTGAATCTGTATTTTCACTTTGCATTGGGCCGATGGGTGGGCGTGGATTTAGGTTGTCCTCGCTCATGTCTACAACCCCAATCTATAGTTGGGCGGCTTATATGAAAATTGTTGGCTCAGTATTTTTAGACACATCTGAGTCAGTAAAACTACATCATCTTTATCTCCAGTTCGTTTATCTTCAGTTAGAGCTGCCCCAACTGTAATGAGGTAAGCTACTCAGGAAAAGGAATTCAGAGATATAGTGACAGAATAAAAGATACAGCTATTGCTTCTGAGCATTGCTTTATTGGTTCTCATTATTCCACAACACAGCCTTAACTTGGCTGCTTCTAGGGGATGAGGCAAGGCTGACATTCCATATCAAGGGTGAAGTCTAGGATGATTAAAATTGACAGGATTGTTTGGGTACAGTCCGCCCCTCATTTGCAGGAACTGGGCAGCCTAGATTCCTTCTGATATGTCAGCTAAGGTAGCCAGTTATGTGAGAATGCAAAGGCATTGCCAAACAAGCAGACCAAAGCATTAAAAGGCTGAACAAAAATGGCATGTGTTCCTTTACATATATAGATGCAAATATAGATAATTATTTAGAAATAATGACTACAATTTAAATAGAAGTGCAGCTCATTGAACTGGGGAAGACTGATACCTAGGTACCTGCTTAGTCCAGTGGCCAGGTGCTAATTGTTGTGAGGCAATTTCAAGGCCCAGGTCTCCCTTCTTATGATTTTTTTCTTGGTCTGAAACATGACTTGGATTTGGCAGACTTTCAAAAACAGAACAGCTTCAAATAAAGGGCTTTGCAAAGCAGGACATCTGCCCACCTTTGTCAGCCCTGTGTACAATCTGCCTCTGGACTGTAGGTAACCTCTACTCTAACGCTCCTCCATGACTCTGGCAGGGGAAGGGGAAGGGGCTAGCTGGACTGGGATGCTCTGGCCTCTGGGGCCCAGCTGTAACTGAATTCAGGGGCTTGAATGCCCGAAAGTACTTGGCCTGCTCTCTCAGCTTTCTGGCTTCCAGATCAGAGGGGCTCTGTTAGGTCCTTAATACCCTTCTGTGTGCAAACCTTTCTCCAGGCAGCTCCTCTGTGCAATCAAGCCCTGAAGACATCCATTGTGGTAGCCCAGCACGGGATGGGATGCTTGAGGCATCCAGAGATAGACGTCCATGAAACCAAAGAATGTTTTGATGCCGTCTCCTCCAGGGAATTGCCTAAGCAGCTGCTGGGAACTAGGGGGCATATAAGGGCAGAGTCCGTGAGGTTTTTACATGGGCACAGAGGCCGTGTACACCTAATGTGGCCTAGAGTACACCTAGAGTGGACATGTGTCCCAATACACAGGGCATAGTCCTCCATTTCAGGGAGGGGAACCTATTTCAGCATGAGAGCCAAGTCAATTCCAGGGCAGGGGCTACATTCCAGTAATGGGTGGGGTCTTATTCCCCAAATCAAATTTGCAGTTACCTATACATATTAACCTATGCAATTTATGCGAATTAGGGTGATGCATTTCTTCCTTTTTAGTGTTGCTCTGATGGAACTTTGGAACTAGAGGAAATTTCCCAGAGTTCACTACCCATGTCATCTCAGATTGCAAAACGGCTCTTGTAATCACAGTGACTGCCGTGCTGCGATACACTGCTAATTGGCAGGGGCGCCATGTACTACCAAGCAATCTAATGTAGCATTGTTCGTTAACTACTATTCAGCATGTTACATGGAGTTCAAGGGTGGAAATAAATCTTTTATCCCTCTCTTCCTTTTATGGGCAGTGGGAGCGGGATGATGCTATTCACTGCTAGATTTTGTCAGTTCAGCACCAGAAGCCCCAATGTTTCATTGATGTTCAGCAGAAAGCTTTGCAATCAGACCTGCTGTCTGGAGAAAGAGAGCAGGCATAATATCAGGCCTGTAGACAAAATCTGCCCCATTGGGAGTCCTCTACGGGGCCCTGGGCCCATACCCCTTTCCCCAGCCACCAATTATTTGGTAGTCTCCCAGCTTTGTGCATTTCCCTCGATTTGGAATTCCTGTCCTCAACAGTGGTAGCAAGAGCTTTGAATAAAAATGTGCTGGCATTTGGGGTACTCTTGGCCCTGTCCTTGGACAGATCTGCCCAAATGTTGCAAGGAAGGAGCAGAGGCACATCTGGAAGAAATGGTAGATGTTGCCACCACCCCTGTGGGCTTCCCAGACTCTGGCCCACTTTCTCTCTGCCCTGTGTCTGCCTCAAGCTACCTGGGCATCCAGCAGAAAGCGAATCCAAGCAAGACTGCAAGACCGGCTTGTGCACACACTGAT